CAGCTGATTGAAACCACTTTCTTTTAGCTGTTTTGCCCTGGATGTCTCAGTGTCATCATGGATAAAATCAGTGCTTAGAAAGTTCATTTAAAAAAGGAATTGGTTACAGTTCACCCCCTCCAAAAATGAACTAATTTTGTTCCAGTTCAATTCACAATTAATTCATGTGGTCCTCAGCTTACCGCCCCCCTCCACCAGTTTTCAGAATTTTACAATCTGTTCTGCTAAAGTATAAAATATGCTCATGAAGACTAAGAAACCATCAAAACAGACACACAGTTTAAAGGGAACAATTGTTTTATTTTTCCCAACAGTTATGATAGTTTCAGATAAGTAAGAATTGTAACTAGAATGGTCACAATCACACATAAAGTGCAATGAATTCCATAATATGTGTGTGTGTGTGTGTGTGTGTGTGAGAGAGAGAGAGAGAGAGAGAGAGAGAGAATTAAAACTGAATTGAATTAAGAATCACCCAGAGTTGCACTGCAAAGAAACAATTCATGTTCAGTTCATACAGGAATTGTAGGAACTACTTTCAGGTGTAATTCTGAGATTTTTGAATTGCGGTAGTTAAGTGAACTAGTTAATCCAAATTAGTTCATGGCAAGTGATGTATAAAACTCAGAATTTTTTTTCTACTAAAGCTTCTCTTTTCTGCTTCTTTGATTATTAATGCAGACAATTTCTCCTCATAGTCTTCTGATCATGAACCTTCAGTTGGTTTTGTAGAATTCTCTTTCATATTCCTTTCACATATTGCTATGTCTTGTCCTGTGTTAGCCTTTAGTATTGTCAAAATCCATCTTTTTCTATTTTGACTGCTAGGATGATTGCCTGGGCTCCGATAATTTTTCACCTTCATTACTGTAATATTTTACTTTCGGAGCATCCTGCCTCAAACTTTAATCTCTGTTCCGAATGCTGCTGCTCGGGTAATTCATTCTACTTGTCATCTTGATCATGCAACACCTCTTTATCATCCCCTCCTTTATCTCCCAGTTCCTTTCCCCCATGCATTTTAAACTGTGTTTATACCTTTTAAAATTCTTTGTGGCCTGGTTCTTCCATTTTTGCCCAAGTCCATATTCATCAGCTTTGCTATTCTGAGTCTTGGCTTCCTTGTTTTCCATCAACATGGTCTGAATTTTCTGGACATGGGAGAGGCAGATTGGGGGGAGTGTGCCCGCTTCAGTTGCACTGGGCCTCAGGGGCACCACTGGGGACTCCGAACAATGTTTTAGAAGAGGCCGCACATGGCAGCACTGAGATTTGAGATCCCAAGATCTGCCACTGCCCCAATATTACTTTGTCAGACACAATGGATCTGGTCCAAGGAGGCATTGCCCCACCAACCTCAGCTTGGTGCTGCCTGTCAGCTTCCTCCTCTGTAGTCTCAGTGTTGCCGATTCAGGACATGTAAGAAGAAGAAGAAGAGTTTGGATTTGATATCCCGCCTTTCACTCCCTTTAAGGAGTCTCAAAGCGGCTAACATTCTCCTTTCCCTTCCTCCCCCACAACAAACACTCTGTGAGGTGAGTGGGGCTGAGAGACTTCAAAGAAGTGTGACTGGCCCAAGGTCACCCAGCAGCTGCATGTGGGGGAGCGGAGACGCGAACCTGGTTCCCCAGATTGCAAGACTACCGCTCCTAGCCACTACACCACACTGGCTCTCAGGAATTTTCCTGATGTATGGCAAGCCTAGGCTCTTAAATCTTTTACACAACTTCCTTGCAGGCTAGTACCAAACATCCAGCTGAAAGTAAGCATGACCAAGGGGCATGTGGGGAAGCAACGGTTTGGGAAAACCAAGGAGGTTTAAGTGGAGGGAGGAACACCCTGGATCAACTGAGCCAATCTGATCCATGGGAATAATTTTCTCTCTGCCACAAATATGACAGTCAGCTGAACCCCCGGCATAAATTAAAAAACCATCTACAGGGCTTCTCCATGAGAAATTGTTCATGGTCAGCTTTCTGTAAAGCTTGCAACAACACATGATTTGCGATAGGCATTCTGTTCTAAGGAAACACTGTGACCCAGCCAATTTAGCTTCCAACACTATAATATGTGGGTTTGTTTTTCTTGGACCAGTCTCTCCAACGCTCAGTTCATACTACCTTATTAAACTCACTGCCCTTACAGTATCAGTGGTGAAATAAGGATCTCGGGTGAACATGCTGACCTGCCAAATTTAAGAGCTAGAAAATCTCTCAGCATTGAGTTGTCTTTTCCAACCAGTGTGGTTTTGTGCCAAGTAGCGTCCAACGAGATCATTCTGTGATGTAGTTGTGTGTAACTGCAACAATGAAAGAAATATCACCCTTTGCTAACAGGAAGTCAAAGGCAGAAGGAAATTGCTACCACATGTGTAGCATTAGTGCCCTCAAAGCTACGGCATTTGATTCCCACCCCGTTAAAAAAAAGCAAATCTTGTCTTGTTGAGTTGGCTTTTGGCAAGTCCAAGCATAGTAAAGTATATTTCATGTTTTGTTAACACCACAGCATTGCACCTGGCCACCTGAGGAATGTTCCTGGTGGGTTTGGCGCAGAATGTAAGGAATTCTAACAAACAGTCACAAAAGTAGCTGGAAAATGAGCACCAAAACGAAAAAGACCAATTCAGGCCTTATGAGGGGAGTTACTGAATGGCCAACTTTGAATGTTTTGATTTCTTGGTCCCATTTGTTTATTAATTTTATTTGCAATTTATTGACATATGCTCTCTGGATGACTCTCAAAAGAAATGCAACAATTAAAGTTAAATAATAATAATAAAAAGAATTAATTCATTTTTTAAAAACTAAGAGGACCAGAGTGTAAGACAGTGTTTCCCAACCGGTGTTCCGCGGCACACTAGTGTGCCGCGAGACGTTGCCTGGTGTGCCGTGGGAGGGAGGCGGGTGAGTCGGGCGGCGAGAGGCGGGGCGGCGGCGGCATCTCCTGCTGGATGCAAATCCAAACATGGCGGGCGCCTCCCTCGCTCCTTTGTAGGCGGACCATTGAGAGAGAAAGAAAAGGAGGCGAAAGAGTGAGAGAAGGCGCCTGCGCGGAAAGAGGAGCGAGCAGTGCGCCTGCGCGCCGCGGCGCCCGAGTGCAGTGAAATTCCGTGAAGAGGGGAGGGGGGGGCTGGAAAAGAGAGAAAGGAAAGATTTTTCATTTTTTTTAAAAAAAAAAAAGGAAGAGGGAAAGAAGAGAAAAAGCGGCAGAAGCTGAGGGGAAGGTTTCCGTGAGGGAGAGAGAGAGAGAAACGCGGGGCTGGCGGGACCCCTCCTCTTCCGCCACGCGTCGCCCGCCACCGCCTCAGAATCTCCTCAGGAGCGGCGGCGGCTGCTCCCCCTCGCCCCCTTCCTCCCCCCAGCCCCCTCCCAACCCCCGGACGAGGGACGCAAGGCGGCGCCGCTGAGAGGACGGGAAGGCCCCCGGCGGCGGGGTCGGCTCGAGCAAGGAGGGGCGAGCGCTAGCCGGCCGGCTCTAGCCCGGCAAGAGGAGGAGGAGGAGGAGGATCACGCCGTTGCTTCCACAGCGGCCGCCCCACACTCCCCTCCCCGGGCACCGGCGGGGAGAATGACGGAGCTCCAGTCTGCGCTGCTACTGCGGAGACAGCTGGCAGGTCGGTCCGTCCGTCGGTCGGGGCAAAACACACCACAGCGCAGGCAGAGGCAGGCAGGCCCGTCTCTCCCTGCCCCCCCTCGGACCTGGCCGGCCTGGGGTTTGCACCCCAAACATTCATGTCCACCCCAGCTACACAAGCCACACCTTGCTCTCAGTTCGATCTGTCAAATAACTCACCTATCATTCACATAAAGAACCTAGTCTATCCTCAAACGTCAGAATGTACCTCCTCTCTAGCTTCCCCCACTTCATCTAGGCACTTTCAGCCCTTACTTAACCCACCCCAGCCTGCTTACTCTTCCTTCATTTGCTATAAAAACTTAATACAGAGAGAGACTGAGAGCTGTTGACGAAGAGCTACGTGTGTGTCTTTCTTCGATTCCAGCCAGAATATCAGCTTTGTGTTCAGCCAAACAGGCCCAGGTTGCGCACTGAATAAAGTATTTTATAATTTTTCATATTTCTGTTTACTTACTATTTCATAATAAAGTAATTATAAAATACTTTCTTTGTGTTTATTTGATTCCTATTAAAGAGAGTTACTTTATATATAGTCAATATAGGCACAGAGTTAATTTTTTAAACATTTTCTAATGGTGGTGTGCCTCGAGATTTTTTTCATGAAACAAGTGTGCCTTTGCCCAAAAAAGGTTGGGAAACACTGGTGTAAGACACATTTAAAAGTGCTAGGTGAACATCAGGTCTTCACCTGGTGCCAAAAAAGATGACATGGTGCAAGACAAACTGCTCTGGGAAGGTTCTTTGCATAACTGGGCTGCCACTACCAAAAAAGCCCCTCTTCCTCGTGGTAACCCTGTTGTAATATACAGTTATTGACTCACACTTACATGCACAAAATGGTTAACCTGAGTCCTGAGCTCACATTATCAGAGTAGGTGTGGCTTAGCAGGCTCTCAGTCTCTCTGTGCTTTTTGGAACAAGCAAGAAGTCATGCGGCTATGGCTCTCTAAAAGTGAACTGAATCTCTCTAAATGGAGATTTTACAGCCTGCATCTTTGCTAGCCTAAAGACTGCATGATTCTTTTGGTAAGTGTTATGTACTGAAGTTCTCACCCTTGGCCAGCAGAGGGATACTGTAGATAGCTTTCACTCAGGTCCACATATGCAAATAAGGGATTGAAAGTGATGTTCAGTGATTGGATAGTTACAGAAAGTGGTTACTGTTGTGTTTTAGTGGAGCTCTATATAAGCAGGCTGGCTGAACCCTTCAGTTCAGTTCTGTTCTGGCCTGTGAATAAACAAGAGCTGTTTGAAGAATCGCTGTGTCGTCTGATACGTTCACCCACAACTTAACAGTAAGAAAATCAAGCCCCCCCCTTTAAGTCAGGTGGAACCTCCTTCTTCTTCATTTTTACTGCCAACAGATGGAGATATGTGTGCTGTAACTTCTGGAAAAAACTGTGAGTAAAATATTCAATAATTTGCAAAGCTAAGTGTGATTTAGTCTAGCCTAAGTAGTTTTGTAGGGAATGTTAGTTTAAAGGTAAATGAGGGCAGATGCAAAATCTAACCAAGTTTTAATGTGCATGGACCAATCACCATTGTACTAACTCCTCTATGGGAGAGTAAGCATCTCTCTTCCATAACATACAGACATTCAATAGGAGGACTGTCTGTCAAGACCAAATCCATGTAGAGCATGTAGAGAACATAGGCTGCATACACACTATACAGTGGTACCTTGGGTTACAGACGCTTCAGGTTACAGACTCCACTAACCCAGAAATAGTACCTTAACCCGAGGTACCACTGTACGTTTAAAACAAACTCAAAGCACACTGTTGTTTGTTAAATATAGCTGGGAATTGCAAACAGTACCCAGAATTCTCTGGGGGAATGAATGTGCTTTAAATGTGCCTTAAAGGTATATAGCGCATACACAATCATAGATGGCTGGTTCATATGTAATGCTAGAATATAGAATATAGCCCTAGATGCCTAAACTAGCATAAGCCTGAGCAAAGTCAGAGGCTTCTAAGTTCCTTCTCCCTTGTGTGTGGGCTGGAGGAGGATTTCTGCAATATTTTGTCCACCCCACCCCCCCAAAATCTTGGCTTAGTCTTGCCTACAAATCAGAGCTTGTGGTTTAAAGCAAACTCTGGCCAGTTTCTTTAAAAAAACAACTTCAAGGCATGCATTATGAAGCTGGTTTGTTGAACTAGCCAGTGTTTGTTTTAAACCACAAGCTCTGGTGTGTGATGCTATGCCAGAATTCTTTGAAAGTGAAACTAAATGCTGCATAACTCCTTCTCCTGCTGTGCCCCCTCTTTTTCTTCCAGCATCCTCCTCCCCACCCCCACCCCCGGATCCTTGTCCACCATTACTGATCTTTTCATTGTGGAATCTCCCAGGAATTTCCAAGGAAACATGGTGTTTGCTTGGTTACATTTTGGAAAATACTGATTTACATTACCTCAGTAATCCTCCCCCAAACGCTGCCAGGTAGGTCAATATTATATTTTTACCTATGTACAGTATTGCAAAGTCAGAGAGAGAGACCTATGCTTCTTGATTTAATGTGTGGAATGAGGTCTGGACTCCAGCTGGTGTGAAAAGTAGAACCATAGACTCATAGGACACTCATAGGCCCCCTAGTCCCTCCCTGGAGTTTTGTCTGCATTGATTGATGACAGGTCACTGTCCTTTTAAAAGAAACCAAGTGGAACTCTGGGGAAAGGAAGGAGAAAGCATATTCCAGGAGAGTTGCGAAGGCGTGTGGTTATCTGTGTAGGTTTTTGCTGAATTGGGGAATTTTTTCCAAAGATAAAATTTTAATTTTCTAGAGGTCCTTGGCCTGGAGTATAACACTGATAGTCTTATCTCATTATGCTACACTGCACCAGCTCTCAAATGTATACCTTATAAGCACATCCATGAATAAGGTAGTCATACTAAACAAATGCCCTAAATATTTACTAATTAGAACCCCCCCACTTACAAAAATTGTGTGATTTTTACAAGTCAGAACCATAAACCTTAGTACTGAGGCAGTACAGTGGTACCTCGGGTTAAGTACTTAATTTGTTCCGAGGTCTGTACTTAACATGAAACTGTTCTTAACCTGAGGCACCACTTTAGCTAATGGGGCCTCCTGCTGCTGCCGCACCGCCGGAGCACAACTTCTGTTCTCATCCTGAAGCAAAGTTCTTAACCTGAAGATTTCTGGGTTAGTGGAGTCTGTAACCTGAAGCGTATGTAACCTGAAGTGTATGTAACCCGAGGTACCACTGTAGTATTTTCCAGCAGAAACGCTGCAGTGTTTAGCTCCATGTACTGCTTGATTTTATTCTTAAAATGTGTGCACTGCTTAACCATCAAAGCCTCTACATGGTTTACATAGAACATGAAACGTACATCAAAATTAGCAGCAAAAGTCAGATGTGAAAAACAAGTTGACCAAAAATATTTTCTTTATTTATTACCTTTATATGCCACCATTATCTTCCAAGGATCAAGGTGGTCTCCATGGTTCTCCTGCTCCCCATTTCATCCTCACAACCGCCCTGTGAGGTAGGCTAGGTTGAGAGGTAGTGACTGCCCCAAGGTCACCCAGTGAGCTTCATGGCTGAGTGGGGAATTCAAACCCCCCCGGTCTCCCAGGTCATAGTTCAGAACTCTAACACTGCCTTCCAAATATAAAGAAAACCAGTAGACTCTATATATCTCATTGAAGTCAAATGGACTTAAGCAAACGTGTGTACACCAGAGCTTTCCAGACTTTTCTTGTTGGTGACACACTTTTTAGACATGGATCATTTTGCAACACACCAATTCAGTTTTATTAGCAAACCAGCAGGCTGCCCACTCCCTTTTAACCCCGGGAGGAGCATCAGGACCGTTTGTGCAGCACACCTACACACTGCAGCCGACACTAACGTGTCGCAACACACACAGTTTGGAAAGCTCTGGTGAACAAACTTGCAGTTGGAAGCTAATATTGTAAGGGTCTTTGGGGGACAGGGCCAGATTGCAGTTTCTAGTCGAACAATTTCTAGTGTGCTGTAGCTTTGTATAAAACTGGTAATATTCTCAGCTTTTTTTTAAAAAAAAGAAAATATTATTCTAAGACACTTTCAAAGGTCACATATTTGAAATCATCATAATCACCATTCCAGGAAACTTTCCTTCATAAAGATGGAATAATTTTCTTGGTGAGAAAAATCTGGTTGATGTTTAAGTTGGAGGCATAACTTTCTCCCGTCGCCATCTGTCGTTTTGCATCTACCTGTTCCCTAAGTGCATTTCTGGCTCACTCGTTCTTCCTTCGTGACTAACCTCACATGCCTCTGTTGCACTCATTCATTTTGCAAGAGCAGCAGGGTTTTCCTAACTGTGAAGACATGGAATGTGCTGTGGAATGAATTGCCATATTAGACCAGTCTCAAGATGTTAGGAAGGAGTATGGAAATGTGATCCAGACAGGGATGACGCCTTGCATAATAATGGTGTGTGATGGTTCCCAGAGCAAACCTCCTTTACAGTGGTACCTTGGGTTACAGACACTTCAGGTTACAGACGCTTCAGGTTACAGACTTCGCTAACCCAGCAATAGTACCTTGGGTTAAGAACTTTGCTTCAGGATGAGAACAGAAATTGCATGGTGGCAGCGGGAGGCCTCATGAGCTAAAGTGGTACCTCAGGTTAAGAACAGTTTCAGGTTAAGAATGGACCTCCAGAACGAATTAAGTTCTTAACCCAAGGTACCACTGTATTAAACATCATGCCAGTGAGGTTTAGCAGAGGGTGGGAGGTGCTTCAGAGAGCGATTTGCCAAACCGCTCTTTGAAGCGCTCCCCTCCATTAAACATTGATGGGGTGGCATTAACCAGATGGGGCCAGCAGTAAGCAGGGGCACCCCCTCTCCCAATGAGATCAGACCCCAGCCTCATAAAGCGGCACAGGGCTGGCGCTGCTTCAGTGGTGAGGACTGGGCTGGATGGAGCTCAGTGGGCTCCTTTCGCCCTCCGTGCCCCGGGCGTCGTTAAAGCACTCTCTGCCACTGCCCTTATGTGCTTGTTTTCTGGGTGCAGGGTAATTTCTACATGGAGAGTTTTCTGCCGTTTGATGTGGTTCAGTCCATTTTTCCATCGCCTTCTGTTCCACATGCATTTTCAGTCTGTGAATCAGTTTTTCACACACTGGCTAGGGATTCAACTCGCAACTATTGCGAGCGCAGCTGGGGATTTCCTATTGTTGGCAAGGGCAGGACTTGTGCATAAATTCTCTGCCTTCTACAGCCAACGATTAGACTCCCTTGCACATATTGTTCTCTGAAATGCAGCCAAATCCTTTTGGAAGCAAGGTGTAATTTGCACAGCAGGAATTTTAAAATTCTAGATACGTTTTCTTCTATTAGTAGAGTTATAGCCTTATGAACCATAATGTATGGGCCTTAATTCAGAACACTAATACCCTAATCTAGCATATTGGTATGGACACAGGAACAAAATGCCAATGCATACCAAGATGTCCCCTGCTGTATGGTCTTCCCTGTTCATTTTGATGAAGTTGGCAGCTGTGTGTGTATTATGCTTCGTCTGCGTGGAACTGATGCTTCTGTTGAAGTAAACGGGGACACCAACAGCCATGGGGGAACTTTGTGTGCGTATCACTGGAGCTGCAAAGCTCTGGCTAGGAATTCAGAACTGAAGAGGAAGCACCACAATTCGAAGGGTATCCTTCAGCCCCAACTGATTGCAGTGGATCTTACTTCCAAGTAGGAAGCGCTGCTAACATTTTTTTCCCCTGGCAGAGCCCTTGTGCCTTTAACAGCTGCGCAACAAGCAGAAAATCAACTGGTGAGCCATTTCACAACAAGCAGATGCAGCAGTTGGAATGAGCTACACCTGATGGAATTCTGATTGCAGATCTGGGCCATTGATGAGAACTAGCAATGCTCAATTTCTAGAAAAAAGAAATGCCAAGGTTGAAATAGGCTTGGAAACCCCACCACAACTCCCTTCACACATAAATTCAAAATGTGGAAAGTGGTCCAGGGGGCGGGGGGACCAGACCACCTTTGCTAGCCCTGTCCCCAGTGTTGTACTCCCTGGGACTATCGTCACCAACAACACCTCCCTCTCCAAATATCCATTCAATTGGCACAATACTTGAAAGGGGTGTCCTCACCTGTACAACTGTATGTGCTTAGGCTATCCATTCAAATAGGACTCGGAGCACAGGGCATGAGGGGTGGGGCCAATGGCCTGTGTGACTTTGGTCTTCTGCCCCCTACAGACATTGGAGAGGGAAGGCTACCTAACACTTGATCAGAGAGATTTTCATCTAGTCTTACGCCATATGCTCCAGGGTTGAGTCTTAGCATTGGAAAGCACATGCTGGAGCAGAGTCTTGGTGAGCCCCGGCACATTTTAAGCTTCGACAGCCTCTGGGGCTTAGGAAAGAAAGTTACCAATGTGCTAAAGTAACTAGGTCAGACAGGGTCTAGGAAAAGCAAATACGTAAGCCAGTCAGTCATTTAATATTTATGCACTGCAGAGCCTAATCTGTGAGCATGAATCATCTGGGCAGATACATACTTGAAAGAACTCAAATGCTTACATCTATTAAACAGAAAATCACCAATAAATATATAGCCAAATTATAAGAGGTATCGAATGCTAACAACCCGAGTGTCACGAGCAATGTGTTAGGAAACCAAACAGCTACAGAGCTTGTGTTTCCCATTCCAGAAAACATGACAGCAATCATGGTGGCTGGGGGTGGGGAGGCAGTAAGCTTGAGCAACCTGTTTCCAGGTTAATGAAAAGAGGTGGGGATATTTCCAACTGGACATACCACAGAAAGCCAAAGTATGGTTTACTGAGGATGCACAAATGTGCTGGTTCCCTGAGAGCAGCAGCTCACAGCTGCTTTACTCCTCTTGGTCCTTTTAACACAGCATGACGCAGCAGCTACACCAAGCTGTGTAATTCAAACTGGGATTGTGGTTAAGGTCTCTTCTCCTCACAGTGACCTGTAGTCAAAGTTTTTTGCTATCCCGGGCTTGGACAACACTTTAAGTCAAACCTTGGCTCAGCTGCCATGTCACAGTAAAAGGATTGGGTAAGAACTCCTCTCTGGGAACAAGCACAAGGGTTGTGTTCCTGCCCCACCCCACATTGACGAAGTGTGCGTTAGCCCACCCCGCCTTGATACACCCCATTATGCTCCCGTTTCACTCTCTTCCGGGTCCAAAACAACCCATGTGTCGGCAGTTGTGCATCAATTGAATGTGCTCAAATTGGTCACAGTCTGTAACGGAAATGCGAAAGACCTTTGTATTATGAGGAGTAGTGGTGTACAGCAATAGCTCCTCTCATGCTCAGACCTTTTTGGGGTCTGGGACACTTTAGCCAGCCGCATTTCTTATCTTGCAATTGAATGCCTGCTGATAAGGTGGCTAATTTCTTATCTATCACTTTGTCATGGGTAGATCTTCAGAGAGCCCCAAGTCAAAGGAGCACTGGTGTACATTCCAGGAAGAATGTACAACAACAGTAGGCTTGAACACAGCTACAAGCTGTCTCTCCTAATACACAAGCGTTTGTGTGAAATAGCACATACTTGTTCTTTATACTGTATACATAGTTACTCAGACAAGTGTACAGCTCAACAATTGTGTATATGGGTCCACAGATTGTAAGGCTGCTGCTCTCTTACCATACCCCTTCCCCCAAACTGCTACACTATTCTGTAAAGTCACTTAAAATGAAGTGGAATAAAATGGGGAAAGAGACAAGAGGGGAAAAAAAGAAAACCACATATATTTTCAGTGGAGTTCATGGAAGTTGGCTGCCCTTTTCTATTTGAATGGCAAGTAGAACTGAGCACCCAATATCCACAGGCACCTTTGAAACCTTTAGGTTTAATTACTTGACTAAATTTTACTTCCCTTTCCCTTTTGATGCATGATAAGACCTGCATAGGCACTAATTGACTCATAGATCCCAATGCAGGTGTGAAGGTGATTTAAAAGGGCCCATTTGCAATGATGGTCTGGATGCTAATTAAACCCTCCGAAGTTCTGTGAACTTCCATTTTCCTGCTGTCAAGGTTAAAAAACTGAAATATGGAAAGTACCTTCGACAAATGAGAATCATTACATTTTTCTCATTTGCTGTGCTTGAATTAAACTTTCTAACCCTTCAGGTTTAGAGGTTTAATAGTTAGCTTTTTTATCCATGGTGTGCTTTGCTACCCAATCCTATCAGGAGGAAACATAAATTGACCCTTCCAGGTATGTAGTGGTTTTAGCTGTAATTAAGGGCAAAAGCACTGGAATATGGCAGACCTATCTGAAAAGTGTTAGTTTGGGAAAAGGAAAAATAGTAGATACAGACAAAAGGAGAATTCCCTGGATGCCTAGATTCAGGTTTGGGACAACTACTCTTTGGTGAGAGAGCTCCATCAGAGATTTAAAATCACAAAGCATGCAGCAAAGTAAAGGGTGGAAATATAGGCTGTCAGATCTTTAAACATATCCCCTTCTAAGTTGCGTCCCCACTTCCTGTAGCATAGAGAGAGACCACATATTTGCTAAGTTAAAAATGGTTTACTTACAAATTCTTCAAAGGTCAGAACCATGCGCTTTTCCATACAGCAACAATAAAAGTCAGGCAGTATAACTTAGATTCCAAAATGGTAAGCAGGGGTGCTAACCTGGATAAATATTGTGGGGGCCCAGGTAATCCCTGTCCCACATAACCAATCACATTATGCAGTGCACACACAACATTTGAATGGGAATGCCCATCAATTTTGTGGATGCTGAAGCCCCTGCGGCACTTATGAGTTGGCTCCTATGATGGTAAGAATTTCTAAATAATTTATATAGAAACACAAAGATGGTTTGCTTAAGCTACACAGTCTAAGCCTGGAGTATCTAGCTTAGGCCTCTTTGCTGGTAGGGTTCACATGGTGGAAGAGAGAACAAAGAGTTTGGTAACCCTTTCTCCCAAGATGAGAGGGTGTGACCAAGTTAAGCCTGGCAGGACAGCTTACTCTATGGTCTTAACCCCTTCATACATTAATTAGAGTTAAGCATGTTGGTTATACAAGGCTGGATATGTTGGATGGTAGCCTCTTGTGCTCTGCTGTCATTACGTTAAGTTGTTCCTCTCTAGTGGCTACCTAGAGTGCGCCCTCTCTGCTTTGTTCCCCTCAGGGTCTTGGGGCGGTTTTCTCATATTCCCAAACATCATTGCAGTTAACTTTACCTCAGGCTTCGCTATAGTTACACCCTTCCCATTTAATGGATTCTTTAATGGCTTTGCAGTTTCATCGCAGCCTGCAGGTGTAAAAAAAAAAAGAATAAAGAATTGCATTCTCAATAAATCAAGAGGAAGGCATCTTTATTCGATGTGCCGAGTCTCATTTGTGGATGTATGTCTCCAGATTGTATTCATGTCTGCACATTCTTTAATCCCACCCCTCCTTCTGGCAGGACCTTCTCACACTTCACTACTGATTCTAATCTATTTCTGTCTTAGTTTAATTTGAAGCAAGTCAAAATCCATCAGAAGAAGAAGAAGAAGAAATGGAATGAGAAGGGCTATCACAAATGTTTTAACTGCTAATAAATGCCCAGAGGAGTTGTACACCTATTACGTTTTACCTCTCGATTGCTGTACCAATAAAGCTCATACCTCGATAGCGGGGAAGGGGAGGGAAACTGTAGCCCTTCAGATGCTCTTGAACTACAACTCCCATCAGCCCCAATCAGCATAGACAATGGTTCAGGGATGATGGGAATTTTAGTCCAGCAACTTCTGGGGGAAGGCATATGTTCTCCATCCATGCTCTTCCAGTAACTACCGTAACTACCTAAGCCTACAATCCTAAATTCCCAATCTTTGGTAATAAATCTGGGTGAAAAAACTGAGTAAACATGGAAAGGTTGAGGCTTCGTGGTACAGCTGAAGACATTCTCCTGCCTGAAGCAAGGATGGTGGCACCCCATTGAAAGCAGAGAAGCTGACCGGATTGGCAGTTGAATCTTCTCCGACTACTGGAAATAGGACAGCACCCTCCACCCCACAAGGTCAGTAGGCTACCTTATGGTATAGGGTTGGCCATGTGGCACACGGAGCTCTAGTCTGCAGCACCTTACTGCTACCCCCTGAGCCCCAGCTACAAAATCTGTGGCCCGAAACTACCACCTCACCTTGTGCCATGGTAGGGCTTCTCTTATCCCAGAAAGTGGCTGCAGCAGGCCTACAGCATAGCATAGTGACACATAGAAATGATCTCACAATTGGAAACAAACTTTGTTATGGGCAACTAGTCAGTATAGTCTGCATTAGGGATGGGGGGGGGAAATTTGATTCAGTTTACATTTAAAAGTGAGTTTATCAAATCATGTAACCACACTTCAATATTCACCCTTAACCTGAATTTTGTGGTGCCCTCTAACCAAGCCATGTTTACAAAAATACATGTCTTAGGGGGTAATTTGCATAAAAATGAATATGCTACTTAAAATAACATGCAAAAATGCATTTTATTAAGAGAAATTGTTTGCAAGGAATGTGTCCACTACTTAAAAATGTATATAAAATGTGTTTATTTGGAGAAATTCACAGTGTAATGCTGAATAATTTTCATGATACACTTTCTCCCCCATGATACTCTTAAAAAAAACCACACCCACAAATTGCTGTAGCAATGTGGAGAAGTGGGAAGTATTGTGGAAATTTAAGATGGGAAAATGAAAAAGTTAAGAGAATTGAAACTGACAATTCCTTCCATTCATAGTCTGCATTCCTTAAGGGGCAGACAACAAGCTAAAGAACCTCCTATTTTAATAAGAGGAATATTTCTCTTAAGATTGTGGTGATGAATTTTTTTCTTTTTGAACATCTTTGATATATTTTCCAGGGGCATGACTATGGCTTGGTGATATAGCAGGTGGTTTGCCTGAAGAGCGTCTCAGGTTCAGTCCATGGTACCCCAATTTAAAATGAAATAGCAGAACTGGGAAATACCTTTGCTGGCTGAGAGCATGGACACCATTTAAAGACACAGTAGAGAGCACTGGGCGAGACCAGGGGTGAGGAACCATGTCCCACCACATGTTGCTGAACTGCAACTCCCATCATCCCTGGCCATTGGGCATGCTTGCTGGGGCTGATGGGAATTGTAGTTCAGAAACGACAGGTCCCTCAACCCTGGTCTAGACAGACCAGTGACCTACTTTGGTATATGGCTAGTTCTTATTTTGTTGTGAGTCTGAGTCCTTTTCAGGCATTACATCTAGGTGTTATTTAAACATGTGGGGGGCAGTGGGAGTGAGTTCACTATCTCAGCCCCCTTGTTGCTAACCCTTCCAACTTGTGGTAGGTGAACGTCTGCAGTGGGGAGCCCCAATTTGCCATGGTTCTAAAATGCATGGGGAGCATCCATAGGTACAAAAGCTTCCCTGCAGCAGAAATTCATCTTTCTCAGTTTGATAGGTGACAGAAATGTCAATGGGGATGTTGTTGGCAGACATATTCCCTCTGCTCCTCTCACACTTACAACCTGAAGTATTACTTCTGTTATACTGATTTCCATAAATGTTTCTCTCCCTGAATTAGGTCTTAAAGGTAAGCATCACATGATGATTAGTGAGGCAGCAAATGAATGTCAGTGGCTCTCTGGGTGTGGAATTATTTCCTCAATAGGTAATCGGTTTACAGAGTTGGGTGCATGTGTCTGAGATCTTCTCTCTCTCTCTCTCTCTCTCTCTCTCTCTCTCTCTCTCTCTCTCTGTGTGTGTGTGTGTGTGTGTGTGTGTGTGTAAAAAGAACACAATATTTGTAACTTAAACCTTACAAGAAGGACAGGTTACCTATTGCAATCAGTTAGTCATTTCCCCACCACAGAGATGGTTAGAGCTGATAAGGTACTGCACATAATATGCTGGATGTGGGTTCGAATGTTGACAACACTGTGCTATCTCAAGCAATGGCGTGTCTTCAGAATGGCTTCTTAGGACGTGCCACTTATCCATTTCTCTTGGCTGCCAAAACCCATTATCAATTTCACTTAACATCTCTTTTTTTAACAAACCTAATTTTATTGAATATTTTCTTGGTTTACAAAAGTATGTGCAATGTCTCTGCCCCCGCCCCACCCCAGTAAGATGTTTAACAGATCAGTTTCATTAACATCTCTTCTTGAAACTTTTCCGTGCAAGGCACTGACATGACCAGCCACCAGGTGGAACGCTTTGAAAAGCGTAGGAAAGGAGGTTGAAGAAATTGTATCCTGGATCAATTGCTCTTTTTCAGCAGTGCCGTTTGCTGTTATTAAACTCTCAGCATCTCATTTGTCTGCTCTGGATAACCACGCTGAGAAGCATGTTCATGACCCTGGTGATGAGAGCTGATATGGCTGTCTTCATATCTCTTCATTTTAAGCCCAGAAAAACAAACACACTTGATAACTTTTCTGCCTCGACAGCAGCCCTGTGAAGCAAATTTATGCACAGTGCACTTCTGATGTCTTTTTTTTTTGGGGGGGGGGGGGAAAGGGGGTAGCCATCATGAAAAGGATTAGCAAATGTTAAGGAGAAGGCTCTGAGAAAGCTGCTGCCTTTCCTCACCAATTACTGTAGTTCAAAAGGCAACTCAAAATCGGCACTGCCAAAGATGCCATCCAAAAGTTGGAGCTGCGAATTTCTTTAATCTGCAAATCTGTTTGTTGGAGAGCAATTTGTGTGTGCATGTGTGTTTGCGGGAGAAATATAGGATACTTCTTCACAGTAACAACAAATCTATGCATTTGATGCTAAAGATAAATTTGTGGAAATTGTAATGAATAGATAAAACCTTTATTTTTAAAAAATAAAATGTTTTCACTGTGTTTTTCTTGGGTACAATTTGCAGATGAAACCTTTATTGATAGAGAAGCTATCTCATTATATATATAACTCATGAATTGTTAAAACTGCTGTCAATAGCAGGCTTTTTAAAAAACCCCACAACGGTTTGTTGTATTTGCTGGGTCTTTATAACATTCCTTCCTTTCTGATATTCGTATGCTATCCTGTAACCTAAAATTCTCTGAGGGGCTTATAGTGAATAAAGAAAAACAACAACTGTAATACAAAACATAAACCATTAAAAGGGAAAGAGCTAGATAAATAGAACAAAACAGAATTTGCTGCACCACTGCCACAATTAAAATCTCTCTCTCTCTCTCTCTCTCTCTCTCTCTCTCTGTGTGTGTGTGTGTGTGTGTGTGTGTGTGTGTGAAGGTTCCAGACCACTTAAGCTATTTAAAAGGCCTGGATGAACAGAACTATATTTACGTGGGATGAAAAAAGATCACAAAGATGATGTTGGGTGAGCCTTTCTTGGAAGGCTACTCTGCAACCAGGGTGCTACTACTGAAAAGGCTCTGGTGGTTACTTCACTTTGTGGTCACTTCATTCAGTAGAGGCACCTGGAGCAAGCAGGACATAGAAGAGATCCAGGTAAGATATATATGGGAGAAGATGATATTTGGGTTATCCACCAAAAGGTGGCCTACATAGTTACATATAAATGAATTTCTAATTCAGATGAATGCCAGACCATGGTTTGGAGACACAGCATTGCCATGTATGAGGAGGGGAGAACACAAAAGTAAGGTCTCAGTGTCCCCTCATGTGTCTCACATCAAACCATGATTTGGTGTTCCATCTGAATCAGCTTACTATTGCACCTGATGTCTGGCCTAAATATCCATGTGTGCACAAGTATACCTGTTACTCATTTTGAACCTTTAAAAAACCCCTTAAAGAGAGCTTTTAAAAGATCCTTTACCCCTACCCTTTAAATCCATCTTCGGCTCTAGTGATAGCAAATGTGGCGGGGGGGGCGTGGAGAGAAGAAAAGCATTGGAAGAGACAGTTTAGCTATAAAATTAATCTAAGGCTGTGTGATCATTAGCAGCTTAAGACTCAGGCCATTTCCCTACATGGCATTTCAAGTCACATTTGCATGTTGCTGCACAAACCAGAGAGCGAGGTGGGATGTCCTATGCACATTACCTGTTTGTTTCCCTGGCACCTGCACCTGCCTCTCTTCGTTAAGCTGTGATTGCACATGCAAAACAGCTGCCTCACAGGAACACACCTCAGCTGAACTGTGAAGTGATTGTGGCTTATTGTTTTCAAACTGGGTGGGAGCTGGTTGGAGGGGAACTGCATCAAACTGCAGTATTCCTCAAGAACTACAGGATATGGATGGTGGCTAATAAACATTGTGTGGACACAGGTTCAGACATCGGGAGCGGAAGGAAGCCTACTGGAGCCAGAGGAAAAGGTAATGCTTACACAGCGTTGTTAATCTATGAAATGCTATAGGTATTCAAATCAGGCCCTCTCCAGCTTATTCTACATGACTGGGGCCATGGGTGTAGCCAAGGATGGGTGGTTGCCTCCTTAAATCAATAAAATTCAATAAAAATACATAGCAAACTGAGGTTCTGCCCCCCAAACAAAAAGCCTGCCCCCTAGCAAAAATCCTAGCTATGCCCATGACGGGGGCAGTTTTGTGCTTAAATGTGGCAGTAGCAGTTCCATGTGTTTATTTTTGCTTTCAGACCCAAGCTGGCATGCTGTGTATTTCATTGAAATTTATTGTGCTGAGGTCCTTCTTGAGGTAATTGGATGCTAAAATGAATCCTCCCCCCCTCCCGTCAAATCTGGTGTTTCTTCTCTAGCTTAAATTCACCCACTTCTTGAGTCCTTTCCCCTCAGTTCTTTTTGTTTTACTTCATCTTTCTACCATAGGCTCTTAACTGCCATTTTCACTGAAAATTCCTCTCAAGTTCCATCTTCCTTTGTTCACAGCCTGGCCTCCCATTGGTCAGGGCAAAGATGCCATGACATCATCACCCTGACCAGGTCATTCCATCTGATGTTGCTCCTTTTTTGCCTGTGAGAGTTGTGATGAAGCAGAGTGTGTTCAGCTAAAGAACTGACACAGTTGAGGGTGGAGTGGAAAGTTAGGTGCTTTCCCCCTTGCTTCTCTTTCTTTTGTTAACCCAAGAACTGAATAATGTTTTCCCTCATAAAATGTGACATTAAGGGTTCTGTTGCTCTTTTTAAAGGCGTTTAAATAATTCACAATGGTGTATCTCCACAGCGCTGGAAACGTTGTTAACAAGTGTCTCTCTAGAGAGTCACGGTTCTGCTTTGAAATTCTCACTCCATGTGAGAAAGGAAGAGTTCAGAACTTCTTGGCACCGTAGAAACTGTATTACGCAGGCATATTATCATTTATTCATATAGTATAATCTATGTACATGGTGCTTTGGAAAGAACAGGCACGTGAGCGTTTTATTTTAGTGGATATTGAATATTGGAACATAAGCATTGTGATTTTCAGTATGCGCAATATGGAAATATATATATCTGCAATACAGTCCACTGCTTGGAAAGCCCAAAACAGCCAGGATTGAAGGGGAGGGGGAATGCTATTAAAAAGGTGAAAAGATCTGGCACGACACGGCCCCAACAGTAATGCAGAGAAATGCAGGTGCAAAACCGCATTTTGCACTAGTGTGGACAAGACCCTTGTGAGCGTCTACCTCCTGATACAGTACAGATACAGGTTGAGCTGCACCTTTAATTACATCATGTGGTGATAGCCTTCCCCCTGCTTCAGTGTTATCTCTGCTTTGCGTAGAAAAGTGGATTTGAATTTTATAGAATGTGTGACCTCTTGACTTAGTTTGTCCTGAAGTTTGACATCTTGCTTACTGCTTATTGGAGGTTTCTCTCTACTTTTCAAATGTGCTTTTAATTTGAAGATGATTTGCTCATCACAGGTTGATGAGGCACTCATGCGTCTTCTTCTGTACAGCAATATCACCGTATCGATAAAGACAGTTACGTTTTGTCTGAGTGTCAGCCTCTGTGTCTGCCTTTCTTAAGCAGGGAACCTGGTAACCACAAAATGGACAAGCCAAAAAACCTTAGACCATAAGTGTATATATCCCTGTGCCTTTTGGATAATTAGATTCTAACTTCTATTACTTTGAACTGGAGCTATGTGTGATCCCTGGAGACTATGCTATTTAATGTAACCTGGTAGAGGCATTTTTTATTTTTTTATTGGTTAAAATAATATTGCTATCACACAGCAAGCAAGTTAAAAGACCGGTGCGCCAATTCAGTTTAGAATTGGGTTGGATATGCAACCATTTCTGCACTGTGACATTTGCTCGTGAGGCCACTGTGTCTGGCTGTGTCTCTTCATGGGGTTGCACAACTGACTTGTGGGGCTATTTGTTGTGTCTCACTGTTTCAAATAAGGTAAAGATCCGGAATTAAGAGGATTGAAATGTCTTAGAGTAGTCAGTCCCATCCTGAATGCAGAATACAGCAGAATTACCTTCCCTTAGGGATGCAATCTTATCCTACTTGGGGTTAAGCCCCATTGAAATAAATGGAGCTTATTTTGAGGTAAATGCACATGGGATCAAACCACTGTCAGGCTCCACCCATTTGCCATGACCCACAGAGCACCTGCCTTTGCTCTCCTTACACTTCACCAGGAGGCTAATCTGGCTATTTCCTGAAATTTGAAGGCTTGATTAGCTATAACACTTGCTGGATGCAGGGCCAGAGAGGTATGGCACCCACAAACTCATAACACTCTCCCTTTGTCTCCCTCTTAGACTTGGGCTCAAAGGCAATTTTGTGTTTCCAACTTTTTTCTTTCTTTTTTTATAAATGACTTTCCTTCAAAAGATCTGAAGAGGCAGGGAAGCCATGCCAGTACCTTTGAG